TATTTTGTCTTGTTTTCTTTGCAAGGGACAGATAACTGAATATGTGGGATGTCTCGCTCATTGAAAAGCCACAGATAGCACGCTGAGCGAGATCAGCTATACTGTTAGGTGAGAGCAGCATAGAAAAGAGAAAAGGAGCGGGGAAACAGAGAAAATGCGGCGGTGTTCAGCTTCACAAAAACAATAGACCTGCCCCGACCATTCGCACCTTGTTTACATTTCACTCTGTACAACCAAATCTTGACACTCTTAACCACCTTCTAGCCTGGTCGACGGCCTCTACTACCCCGTGTAAGTCGCGTCTGGGATCCATATTGGCTGTGTGTCTCGTGAGCACCCCGCAAAGTCTTGGCATCGCGGCTTTCCCCGGTGTCTCGTGCTTGAATCAGACGAACCAGACGTCAACGTTCAGCACAGATGCGCCAAGGCACTAAACGCGCTCTGGAACGAGCTGCATCATTGGTGCATTGTACTGAGCCGCGCACCTTCCCCACCCATTATTCGGATCAACCTGAATGCCAAAGAGAGGTGGTAGTTATCTTGGAAACTACGCCGCCTGCATCATTTGGGGTTGTCTGCGTAATGTTTCAATAGGGGTTTGGATGGCTGAATCCTACTACGCCTGTTACGTCGGGAGAATGGGTTTTTCAAGACGGAGGAAGGAGGGGACCTTCTTTCCAGCTCGCCATCGTCAAACCGATGTTCTAAATGATGATAGTTGTCTCCAAAACGCAACATCCCCTCATTGGGCCGCTTATCAATTGCTACCCTGCAGCTATTCGCGCGGATACCGCCATCCACTGCCTGTGGATGTGGAAACAAAATAGGCAACAGACTGTGTTTCTCTTGGTTTTCGCGAGTGAGGAAACATCGCCTTTCACCCCATGCCCGCTCCTTGTCACTCGGGAGTTGTCTGGTACGTGTTACTCGGAGCACCATGCAGCGGCATTTGTTCCCCGCGTGGGGCATGGCGTGCCGATGTAAACCCGTTAACGATTGCAAAGACCTGTGCGCAGTACATTCAATGCCCTCTATCATAAGGTCCGAAGTTTGCCTCACGTCTTCAAGGTGGGATCCACCTGTTTGAAGATGTTGAGCAGTCACGAAGAAATCTGCCGCTCGTGGAGACCATCTAGAGCGGACCCGATTACTGTCTTCATCACCTCTGGCACCGTTCGCAGGTGAAGCTTTAGGCATCTGGGGGAGCTGCCTGTTGACTTTCTAGTACTTGTATCCGCAAACGAGGATCTGTCTTCTCACGATCCGCTTTTTTGGAGGACAATGAAAAGAAAAGATGCTACTGGAAAACGTTGACGGAATATCTACCTTCCGCTGACTGTATCCGAGCAGCGAGTTTCTATAGTCACAAACCGGGACAAATATTTCCGTGGTTGGCTGGCGATTATTCCGTCGTGCGCTTATAATGCATAGCGCGTGATAATTATAGGGTTACCTTGATGCCAAGAAGTACGGCTCGACCCAAGCGCCGTGAGGATATAAAGGGCCAAAGTGGCATCACAGTGTCTCGAAACAGCGTACCAGTTTTTCGGTGTGGTTCAGTAGCAAGATTGAAAAGCGATTACACTTTCAGCATAAGATGTTGCCCATGTGGAAACAGCTCGTCGCCGGCATTCTTGCCGTCATGTTCATGGCGCCGGGTGTCAGTGGCCAATATCCCAATCCCGGCGTCGTCACAGGCAGCACCAGCGTTCACGACCCGACGGTGGTCAAGACCCCAAGCGGCACATACCTTATGGCCCACACGGGAGCGAACGTGGCTCTCAAGACATCAACCGACCGCACTGCCTGGCGCGACGCCGGCGTCGCATTTCCGAGCGGTGCACCATGGACCACGCCGTACACGGGGGGCGACACCAATCTCTGGGCACCAGACATCTCGTATCGCAATGGCCGGTACTACATGTACTACTCTGCTTCAACGTTTGGATCCCGCAAATCGGCCATCTTCTTGGCCACAAGCACCACGGGCGCGTCGGGGTCGTGGGCCAACCAGGGCGTAGTCATCGAGACGTCAGACTCCAACGATTACAACGCCATCGACCCCAACCTGATCGTTGACGCCCAGGGTAACTGGTGGCTGTCTTTTGGTTCTTTCTGGACAGGCATCAAAATGATCTCGCTGAACCCAAGCACCGGCAAGCGCTCCGGCACGAATTTCGTGTCCCTCGCGAGGCGCACTGAGGCCGATGGCGCCGTCGAAGCGCCCTACATTACTCGCCGTGGCAACTACTACTATCTATGGCTCTCTTTCGACAGGTGCTGTAACGGCGCCGCCAGCACGTATCGCATCATGGTCGGTCGATCTACCAGCGTGACGGGCCCGTACGTTGATCGCGATGGTAAGAACATGATGTCCGGCGGTGGCACCCAGGTTATGGCAAGCCACGGTTCGATCCATGGACCTGGCCACCCAGCTGTCTTCACCGACACGGATGCCGACGTGCTCGTCTATCATTACTACAGCAACAGCGGCGCTGCGCTACTGGGCATCAACCTCATACGTTACGATGCAGACTGGCCTGTTATATACTAAACACTTTCAACCATTACGGCTTTCATTCTCTTTGAACAGCTTTGACAAGTTTCTACCGATTGATAGCTTAATCTTTCTCTGGCAATAGTACAAATACAGTCCTCGCGTCCATTTTCAGATTTATTGCATTAAAGCTTCGACTTCCGCGTCCTAAGTTTTGGGGATCTAAAGATTCGCAGCGACTCGAGTGATTAACCTCGTCTCCAGCCACATCTTCAGTAACAAGGGCCGTTCCGACAACCTGCAACACCGGTACATCACTGTTTAACCGAGGCTGAAGGCGTACCACAACCGCCTTCTTTGTCCCTTTTAGCCAACAAACTAGGTCAGTTGGTCTGGCTTGGCCCGAAACAACGCCCATCTTCCATGGTACAACGTAGTTAAGACCGTTATACAATTGAAACAGATTCACATCGCCGAACGAGTTGATGGGCGGTGACGTGTGGGCTGCTGATACTCCGCTATTTGTCTGGTTTAAATACCGAACACACCAATCTTTATACTTTGATAAAGCACCATTCTCCTTGTCTCGAAACAGCCAATGATCACCCACGGACTTCACCAGTCCAACGCGGTTGAAGCAAGTCTTGTGTAATTCATGAACTGAAGCTCTCAACACGGCCCTTATGAGCTTGTTACTCTCTCTGTGGGCGTTGCCGAGGTCCGAGCCATAATGGGTTTGCAGCTGCTCCGCCCATTCATCGGTTCTGCGGAGGTTTGCTGCTATTTCCTGAGTCGTCGGTCCTATGTACCAGATACACCCAAGTACATAGGCTTTGATATGGAATACCTTTGGGTTTGATGATTTGCTTGCATCTGATTCTTCGATGGTTTGCAAATCCGTCTGTGGCTCGGCCTGTTGTGAAATTTGTTGAAATGGAGAGCACTTCGGACCCATCAAGAGGGACTTGACAAGACCACCAATGTAGACGATGTCGGTCTCTTGGTTGTCAAGGAAAAGTTCTCGCTTATTCATGAACTCCATGGTATCATTCCAGACCACCAAGAGGGACTTCTCGTAGTTGAGTGGAAATCCGCGTGCATCAAGGGCCAGACCAACCAGGCCGTAGATCTTGTCTCTTGGCTCTTTGCACTGAGCGTCTTTGTGGTCGATGAGCAGCCTTCTGAGGGTATGTGCATCTCCGTACTTCTGGCTAAGCTGTTCTGCTAAGCGAAGAGGCCACCCTGTGCCGTTGTGCATCGTAACGAAATGGATGAAGTCGTCCCAGCCCACTTCCAAGTGGCCAAAGCAGACTCTCTTCGATTCGTTCTGCCCGACCTCTTGGATAATCCATAATCTGTTCCAGTATTCGTCCGCGACAAGCTGCCGGACCATTTCTCGCTCCGCTATGCTAATGGCCGTCTCGGTTTCTTCCTCAGCGTCGTCATCTTTTGACAACCCCTGTTTGGATTTGTTGGTCGGATTGACAATCTCCGAGATCTCGAATTCGGTGAGACCTGTTTGATATTCCGAGTATTTGCGGCCCAGCCAAACAATGACCGATTCGGCTCTGAAATAAATGTGTCTCATGTTCTGGACTTGCTTTGTGCGCTCCTTGAGATTGTGCTGGTCTATACAGAGTGCATCCACCCATAGAAGACGTGTTTTCTGCCGACCGCGAAGATACACTAGGGCGTCAAACAGGTTCCTCCGGATATTGAAAAGACCGTCATTCAGCTTGATTGTTATCTGGTCCTTCTCGTCTCCCCACATGTACGAGAGTGCTTCGAATTTGGGCAGCTCTCCAAAGGGAATGTTTGTCAGGCTACAGACGAGCGGCGCGATCTCGCTTTCGGCGGACTCTATCTGGATGAAACGGGTTGAGTCGACTTCTTCGTCCAACTTTTGATACTCGAATGGAATCAAGGTAGCTAGGATGTCATCTTTTTGCTGGGATGACGGACCATCTCTACGTCGAGACTCGTTTGCAGACATGAGGAGAATGGTGGGCTTTCAGAGTAGTTAATGCGCGGCTTAGTGTTGGATTTTCTCAGTATTATGGACTTTCAGTCTAAGGTGAGGTTTGCAGCGAATGAAGATGCAAAGAAGTGATGGTTGTTTTTCCCACTATAGGGAAGAGCGAGATGGAATCGGGCAACAACGCTGAGGAAGAGTTAAGGTTGACAACTTTTGGAGAATGGGCTGAGAGAACCGGTCTTAACAGCGATATTAAGTAGTGGTGACCAAGTGCAGGCAAAGGCGACCCTGATGATATGCACGTGAACATTTGTGAAATCAGGCTCTGCTAGGCGCTTTCATGTGGCCTCCTATTGGCTTTTTATGTTGAATATGTTGGGACACAACCTGGCATTACCCTATCGGCGAACTCTCTGGATGCAGATCGGCCAACTGGCCTTGTTTGAGTTCGGCGGTTATCAGCGCACCACAGTCGCGACCGAGTTAGGGGTAACCAGAATCACAAATTCGCATAGCAGTCGCAAAATTCCTGGAGATCAAAACTTCAACTTCAACTCTCAAGCAAAACTGGGATGCGGAAAAGAGCTGGAGGGTGAGGGCAGGCAAAGATGGCCACCACGAATAAGGCAACCAAATACATACAGGAGGACCAGTGAAACGTTTGTATATTGCCAGCCTGCCTGACTGCTGCATGCAAGCTGACGAGCGTCCTATGGCCTACCTTATACCACTACGAAACCGCAATACGTTGCACCGATGTATTAGTCAGGTTTATGAACCAACAAAAGCCTTTGGAGTTCTTGCAATTCTAATAGGCCACATGTTGCCCTGGTAGGAAGCGGTATTACTGAGCTATGTTTCGGCCCATCAGGTGGGCGGGCACTTGGATAAGATGAAGAACGGATATCGACATCTTTTTCCAAGAACTACCCTAAAAAGTTTGCGGATCCTGGGCGGAGCATCCACAAACAGTGGCGTCTCTATAGCCCATTTCATGACCACCTTGTCAGGTGGATCTAAAGACAGTTGGTTGAGGTGTTGCAGCAATTAGTGCCAACCGCTCCAATAACGCTACGAACATTGTAACACAACGGGTTTCTACTATTTTCCCATCAGGAATTTCCTCCGTGGCCCAAAAAGAGCAGCAGTTTTCTGCCAGGCAGGTCTGCTACTGACGCGCTCCCACCAAGCAGCCAGATCGGGTGTCGTGTTCAAGAATTCAGGGTCAATACTCAGCGCCAAGTCAATCCATACAGCTGTCCACACGTCTACGAGGGAGAAGGTGTTGCCCGCAAAGTACTGCTGTACAGATGAAATCCTATTGAATATATGTTTGTTGGTCTCCAGAGTTTGAATCGCCTCTCTAAGCGCCTCTGCATCATGAGGTTTTCCAAGTAGCCTGAGATTTGGACTTCGTTAGTCTGTGCCTTGACACTCGGATGATCCTGCTTACGGCTTCACACGTTTCTCCCTCGTGTACGTCCCTGTAGGAGTGGCGAGATATGGAGACTCGAAACAAGCGGCCTCCTCGAATCGGATAACGGCCTCGGGGTCATCTAGCCTCGGTAAAAGAGGCGTCCCTTTGTTCGCGTATTTGACTGCCAACCACCGGGAAATGGCCCGACTCTCTATCGTGATCCATTTTGTCAGCACATATAGCGTCTCCGTCTGTTCTTGGGAGGAGCGGATAATTACCGCATATCCTGACGACACGCCCTTCGGCATCTGTATCCTCAAGGATAGGCACCTTTCGGAAAGGATGTTTAGCTTTCATGACATCCCGCTGCAAAAATCTGGCCGTTAGCAACTTGCAAGGGAACCCGGAGATTCATGGGCCTTTCCATGGATTGGTCTGACGGTTACATACATCAGTCTCAGGGGATAGGAGTTTGACGTCGACAAAATCGAATAGTAAGTCCTTTTCATGGAGTGCAAACAGACAGATGACGGTGTAGGGAGAGACAAAGTCTCCATAAAACTTGATAGACGAAGCCATGATTTGCGATCTATTTCCGAACCGAAAACGTAGCAGTCTTTCGGGAGATTAGACAATAGATTGGTAGAGCGGGTTCTCAGCTGATAACATAAGGCAAACACGCATGACACAAGGCCACTGTGTTGTACATGAGAGATGTTCTTGGAGCGAAAGCCAAAGTTGTCCATATTTGTAGAGCTGTGACGTCCTGCAATCGGCGCGCCGGAGATGAAAATCGTCCGGAACGTCTTCCTTGCTGCCAACATCCACATGCCGATATGCGTGGTGTTACTCTTTGACTTTCAATAAATCTTGACCACTGACACATTTACCTGCCTCACGGGAATGCCAATGCTAAGCCCCGCGTCGAAAACATTACTATCGTCGTATTAGAAGGACCAGTTTTTGTTGGTTCGATAGTATGATGACCTCCGCAAGAGAGGGCCGGGCCGGAACGGTGGGTAAGGGAGGGGAGAGCGGCTTGTCGCGTGTTGCCGCGTCAGCGCGGAAAAGCCGGTTTCTGGGGAAGATCTGCATTTTAGGTTTCACTTCCCACACGGCATCAAAAGATGGGAAGGCTAGACCTTAAACAGGCAGTTACAATGTGGTTACAGGCTAAAGCAAAACTCCGCCGACTAGGAAGATTTGGCTGCGCTGCAACGGTTATCCTGGCAGCTAGTCCGAGGGTCTCGTTCACTTCAAAGCTTATTTCTGACCGAACTCAAAGTTGCGTCAAGTGGGCCGGGTAGCGTCGTAGCCAAACCAGCTGACGTGCCGTTGCAAGAACCGCTCAACTGTCCTTTGCTGTATCCCGTCATCTGTAGCCGTACACCAGGCATTCGTCCAACTTTGTGGCCATGTTAGACTCCAAAAACTGCGGCAAGGGGTTGAAGAGAAGAATGGGAGCGATGCAAACGCCTTTCAGGGTTCTCGCGCCACCGGGATGTGGGACGCGGTCTGGGCACGGGACTATCGTGTGCTCTTTGACGGATGTAGCACCCAATCAAGTGTTGTCACGTTTGATTACTTTTATTTTCATCGTTCTCATCTGGGGGAGGGGGGGGGCAGCGCCACAACCATGACTTTTGACTGAGATAGATAGAGAATGATATTTTCCCAACTATGCTAATCTCCCCTACGTGAATACCCAGAGATCCTTTGAACACACGATAACCATCCGCCTACAATAGGGAGACCTAGCAGAGGCTGCAGTCTAGTGCCAGTTGAACTCGGGCGTCTCATCTACTGCTGGCGTCTTGTTGAAGAGGCGCTTGATAGAAATAAACAAGCTTACTAGGGTCAGCCACTGACCCGCCATGAACAAGAAAATCTTTGAAGGCATCTTGCTAGTGTTCAGCGGCTTTTCCAAGAAGTCAGCGCTGCTCACAATACACGGGGTAACACTGCATCGATTGTTGATGGAAGAGCAGTTTCGACTCACAATAAAGTTGTCTCCTCCACTCTTCTTCACCCAATTGAACGCCCGGGGTATCATCTCGTTCTCGAACTCATTGACTGCCTTGCGGATATCTTCTGTCGATACGGGCTTCTTTTCGGAATCCCTGCTTGCCAGATCTGTGAGAAACGGCAACATATGCCCGGCGTCTAACATGGCTTGGTTTCCGCCCATGCCACTATGCACATTAATCGTTAGTGAGGTTCCTTGCCACCATGAAAATTGTCAGCCTCACCGTGGCGGCAGCATCGCGTGAACGGCGTCGCCCATTACCCAAATCCGCGGGTGACCGACCCCAGGCTTATCTCGGTTCTCGACCTTCTTCCGCCAATTCTTCGACGGCTGTTTTGCGACCCTCGGCGTATATATGTGAAGAGGAGCGCCCCTCATAAGGTCGATCATTTCATGGCTGTCGCCCTGATTAGAACCAGTCGAGTTTTTGTTTGAGAGGAGAAAGGCTCAGGATTCTGAAACTTACAATGGTGGTGCCCAGTCCTTGACGGTTTCCGCCATAAAATCATACTGCGCATCAAGAGAGCGATCGTGGATATCTTCCGGCAACATATCTTTCTCAATGACAAGGCTGATCATGCAAGATGCCAAGTCCTCATCGTATGCCTTTGTAGAGTCCGCATCGGATGCGCCTTTTCGTTGGCTCCCATCATTCTGCTTATTTGGGAGGTACACTACATGGAGTTAGACACCGAATAAAAGTCAATGGAAGAATGGAAGAATTCTCGCTGGGGAAGGTAGAAAATTCTTCTCGGTCCGATAAACATAGGATTGCCACTCACCTCCAAAGAACATGTGTTTGTTATCAGCCCAGCACATGATGGGCGCGCCGACGAGCTCCTTGGACATGGACAAGAACCGCTTGGCAGGCAAGCCGCACTTGGCCGCGATGGTCACGTGCTTGGGGATGTAGTCAAGGCTGTTGAGGCCAATAAGTCTATTAACCTTAGAGTAGCTGCCGTCGGCGCCGATAAGCACGTCGCAGTCGTCGTAGGATCCGTCGCTCAGCCAGATGCGAACCCGCTCTTCGTCGGTGCCGGGGTGGAGGATCTCGTACCGCTCTAAGGCGGCTTCGTACTTGAGTTTGCCGGCGTTGTATAGGGGATCAGCGAGGCAGTCACGCAGTAGACCTCGGCTGATGGGTGCATTCTTGCCGTAGGCCGGGAAGCGGCTTAGATCGATAAGCAGAGACCAGTCTTTATGGAAGACGCGGGGGGCCTCGGCTTTGGCTTCGGTCGTGGGACCAAACTTCTTGATGATGGACAGCATGTGTGGGCGCTCCAAGCAGGTGCGCAAGCCCACCAGCGCCGGCGCCGTGAGGCGGATTTGCAGGCCTTCGTGGTTTGAGTGCCGCACTGCGCGTTCGTAAACCTGCACGTCAACGCCGTCACGCATCAACCCACACCCGAGCAGGTTGCCCGCCAGGCCGCCGCCAATGACGATAACTCGGAAAGGCATATTCTTACAAGTCCACACGTTGCAAGCACTGTCTGATATCAAACTCTAGTCGCCAAGGTTCGCGGTGCAGGCAACAGTCCATAGCCATTAGCAGTCACAAAGAAACACCGACATATATAAAGAAACTCGGTGCGTACCTACCACAAGATCTTAAGAACACTGATGTATTCTGCTGCGCTGCTTGGGTGATTTAGAGTTTCTATTGCCTCCCCGGCCCCACTCCGGTGAGCTCGGGCGCTCGGCAGTCCAGGAGTGGTCGTGTCTGTTCAACATGTCTGGGTGCCGGATATTCCGAGTTGGATATCCCGAACACTGACAAAGCCTCAGGAGCCCTTTTTTCCATTGTGACAGTTGCGAGGCACAAAAACAAGAATTTTCATCTTTGTGTTGCGTCCAGGCGCATGGATATTTTTCCGGGCTGGCACCTCTGAGGGGCTGGCTTCTCGGGACTCTCGCCGGCAAGCGGCGAGTACAGTACATCAAATGACGTGGCATACTGTCGTGTTCTCTCATCCTCAATTTCGAAGTCAAGGCAATTTGTTTTCGTTGCACATCCCGTTAATCTGGTCATTCTTGGACCTACCGAACTTGATAGAGCTTTTGTTGTCAAGCTCTACTTTTCGAATGCAGCCGCATATCCGCTTTGTGCGTGGCATAGGTAATTGAAGCTAGACTAGTCTTGTTGATATGTCTCTTGCTGGTGGATTAACGTTCCAGGGATCTCGAAACTCGGCGCTTCAGATCTGGGAAGATCAAACTCATTTTCACTCGCAGATTTTGCTGCTCTTTCGGGTCTGGGTTTCGATCGGGCTGACAGCTACGACAGCAAGGCATGGTTTATTCCTCTCACCAACCCATATCTGGGTTGGCTCCGCTAGCCCGCCCACCTTTCTTTCTTGGGTTAGTGAACAGTTGGTGACGCTGAGTACATCCCTAAATAGAATTGTGACAAGCTGAAAAACATCTTGGTACCAAAGCTTGCGGTAAGACGGCACTTGTCTCCTGGCAGAAGCTTATCACACTCCCAGGTCGATTGTCCCGCACTGGAAGGTGCAAAGACCGAAGCAATGTCAGCCGCTGATTTTGTCGTCGTGGTCAGCGGTCCAAAGATGCTTGGCAACTCGTCGCTACGAAAGAAGCATCTTATCAGATATTCTCATTTAGGGACGCAATCCGACGACATAGCGCCCGGTTATCGTCATCTGCGTCCGAGTTGAATACAACTATTGACAGCGAATTCCAAGGTAGCAACGATATCAAGTTCCCGGGAAAGTTTTAATCATGCAGCTGTTTACTCAGGTAAATGGAGAATGGTAGTTAACTGGGTTGAAGCCAATGGGTCGAAGAGCACGTTCAAAGAGCAAAAGCTAATAACCAAGAGGGAAACCGGGAATACTTGGGTGGTTGCGTAAGCCAAATCGACCTACCCTAAGCTGTATTGTATCGATGATGCTCTCGGTGATGGAATCTTCGTAATTCGGTACTTTATGATTATCTCTTTGAGACACATCACCACTCGGTTCACGTCCCGAGTGATTATAGTTGTTGCCCTGCGTTGCCATTTTAGGCGGTGCTTGCTGTCTACTTTGCCAATTCGACACGTTCCTGCCCAACAAAACATGGTAGAGTCATAACAGACTTGAGAAAACTGAGAGAAATGCACGTGTCGTTTTGGAGGGGAGCTCTTGTAACCTCAATGTCGCAGATCCTTCGCCTCCCATCGGTCTAACGTAGGTCGGCTGTTCCGGCACATCCACCGGAGACAAGGGCAGATGCAGCCTGTACCCCACCGGGGGGGGGGGGGGGGGGGGGGCAACGGAACCGTGGAGGTTTTATGGCAGCAGTCGGGTGTACGGATGATCGACTGTGCTCTACTGTCTACGTGCACTCTATGCATACGTGTGGTACATTTCAGGCGTTGAGCACGTCGCCAACGTCAAGCCTGGAACCTTTAGCATAACCCCCATTCTTCAATAGGAACATAGATTATCTGTCTTGCTTGCCTATTGACAAGTCACTTGCTGCGAGCCCCAGGGTCAACCCTGCCAATTCCCGAGTCATAACCTGGGGAGCGCACCACATTTGACACTCCCCTCCATCCAAACGCAAACCCTTGAGGTTTCTACTTTATTACGCAGTAAATTCGTGCATGAATTGCCTTCTCTACAAGAGAATCCTCAAAGACGTTTCCATCCCCAACCACACTGGATGACAATCATGAAAACACGAAAAAAAAAATTATCAAGTTATCTGTTCGCGCTAAGCGTTGTCAACAGGAAAATCTCATTATCGGCCACACAGGTCATCCTGACTCTTAACATATAGTCTGCTTCTCTCTCAAGGCAACCCGTCATTATGGATTCGGGCGTGAAAGAAACAGCCCTGGCTAGCGCCGGGGCAAACCCAAAGGTTAGGTTAACTCTCATGAGCCTTATCTCGGAAGTTTCCAAAAGATATGAAAGGAGGAGAAAATGGCATGTGCAGTTATTCCATCATCAGCCCTCACGGCTTTTAATGTGATAGCCTTCAAACCCAAACCTTTCCCCCCTGCTGTTCTATTCATCTATGATGCGCCCGTTGTTTGCTGACATGACTTTTCTCCGCAGTCCTGGCCACTATGGTGGCGGATCTGCATGCTGGCATCGCTCAGCTGGTTCGTCACGATGGGTCAAGTCATGAGCGCCTCCGTTCCGCCCATGTTGGGATCCATCATGCAAGATTTGCACGTTGGTGCTACCGAAGCATCCCAACTGGCCAGTTGGGCCGTTCTCGCTCTTGGTTTCGGTGTAAGCCGCTCTCTTTCTTCGATTCACACTCCCGGCCGGCGTCATCTGGCATCGTAACCTCTGCTGATACATTACGATCAGAATGTATGGTCTGTGCCCATGGTTGCTCATATCGGTGGCAGGTACACCATGCTCTTCGGACTTTCAATCTTTACGGCTTCTTTCTTCTGGCAGGCTGGCGCGCAGACTTACGAGTCTCTCCTTGCTGCCCGCGTCGTGGGCGGCCTGGGAGGCGGTGTAGTCGAGTCGATGGGTCCCATGATCGTCGTCATGCTGTTCCCACAGGAATTCATTGGCCGTGCAATGAGCGTTTACACCATGGCACTCGGCGCTGGCTCCGTCTTCGGCCCCCTTTTTGCCGGCTACATGATTGAGGGACTCGGCAACTGGCGATACCCTCAGTATCTGTTCGGCGCCATGTCGGCCATAAATATCGTCGGCTGCCTCGTCATGTTTCCCGAGCCGGTCAGCAATATACGCATCGCCGGTGAGCCGAGCCTGGCAGACGTATCTGGCGGCAGGCCCGATACCAATGAGCTGGAGATGGTTGGCTCCAAAGATGTCATTTACAGCGAGCAGCAAGAATTCCCCGCAACACCCACGGGAGTGAAGATTCTTCTGACCTCCTGGACGAATCTTTGGGCACGCCGATCGTTTTTCGTCCGCTTCTCACACCACCATCCAACCGCTGGTTGGTTGGTAATGCTCCTCTCGCCGTACCGACTCCTCGCTATGCCTGCTGTTATAGTCACCGTTCTAAGCTTTGGTGTTTCTATCTCGTCGACCATCGCCATCTCCGTCCTTGTCTCCCTGACGTTCGCGCAGCCCCCGCTGTTGTGGTCCACCGGTCTTATCGGCTTGTTCAACCTCAGCGTCCTCGTTGGCCTCTGCGCCGGCACCCTTATCGGCGGCATGTTGGCCGACAAAATGGTGCTTCGGTTCAGCAGACGCAACGGATACCACAAGCCCGAAGCGGCGTTGCCGCTCATGGTGCCCTTGGCCATCTCCCCGCCTCTTTCCATCGCCTGGGTTGGTTACGGGCTTGCGAACCAGTGGCACTGGGCCATCATTGGCGTGCTCTGGGCCCTCGTCAACGTCAACCTCACGGGCGGCTGTACCATTCTAATCTCGTATGCGACCAACATTTACCCGGAGAAGGCCATCGATATTGGCGTCGTCGTCAACGTTGTCAAGGCTGCCATAGCCGCCGGTATCTCTTTTGGCACCGTTGATTGGTGGACTATTGACGGCTGGTACATGTTCCTTGCGCTGGCTATGATCATGTTGTCCATCTTTCTCGGCGTGATACCTCTGTGGCTCTACGGCCCTAAGATCACGAGTAAGACGAGGTCGTGGAGTTGGTATCAGGTGTATAACGTGAACTAAAAGACACGCAATGGTAAAGCCTTACCAAAAGTGGGTGTTTTGGTGGCGGATTCCATTTCTCATTCCTCCAGTGCCACAGTAGTCTTGTCCGCGACAGTCATGTCTCTTTCTGTCATCTTTCGAAGTTATGGAAAGGTTCCACTTGAGCTGTTTTATCTCACCAACGTATTCTATTGCTTCTCCGTTGTCCTCACTTTGAACTTGGAAGGCAAGGTGTATTGTCACAACTCTTATGTGAAGGGAAAGGCTGAGTTTTTATACACCGTTATGCAGTAGGAAGTGGCTCAATCGAGAAAAACCAAATCATGTGATTAAGACAACTACGTTACTACATATCAGTCGGATTAAAAAGTATCCACGCTTGCTATTATACGGAGGTACTGCCGTATTATTGGTTGGCCAGGTAAGATTGAAAAAATACGGTGGTCGGTCTTCCACTTCACCAAGGAGTGTTGGGAAGTCATGAGGCTTTTGATAGGTAGAAGTAGGTATGATAAATGAACTCCAGGAAAGCTATTAAAGGTACTTCCTGTGCAGAAAATTTTATGGGCTCTGTCAAGATCTTGGATTCCCTATATCTCGACTAGACAAGTTCTAGTTGTTCGATCCAATAGATCCTGGTTGGTTTAAGCGTATATGCATCCTTAGGACCTCTTTGAGTTCGTCATGGGGATATTTTCTGTGATCTCTCAGCTCAGACGTCGCAAGTAACCTCCCTGATCATAAATCCTTGAATTCCATCCTTCCCCCAAAGCTTTGATAAGGGTAATTGCTTGTGATTTGCCCAATCAATCGTCTTGGCAACTTGGTGTTTGAAGCATTCACCCAGTTGAGGTTACTTCACTGCAAGGTCTCAATCGGCAAATATCAGGCAATGTTAAATCGATTCGCTTTTCAACAAAGGATTAAATCAGAATACAGGTGAAATTATAGTCAGGCTATTCGAGACTTTTACACCCAAAGATAACAATAAATCTAGTTGCTTACGTTACGCTATCGACCAATTGCAAAGCCTTTTGAAGGGAGATACCATTTTCTTCCGCTTATTGGGTCATCGTCTGTACTCCAAAGTCCGTGCTGATGAGAATGCCACCATTCTTACCACCTGATCCAGCTTCAAGCGCCTTCCCTATATCGTCAATACTCGTGTTTGACTCCCGCTCACTTAGCCGCGTGAATGGGTGCTCGTCTTCACGATCGTGGTTGCGTTCGTGGTTAGGGCAACTTCCTTTGATAGTGATCTGGCCGGGATTAATGTGGCCCAGGTAAGTGCTGGCATGGGCGGCACTGGGCTTTACACCACTATTTAGTGCGTAAGATTCGCTAGAGCTCTCGCCTTCCGTGGCGGCAGTAGACTTGAAGGTACTGTCCACAATGGAGGTGAGGAGGGGCTTCAAGGACGGGAGACATGCTAATTATCGGAGATACGTCAGTTAACCATAATCATAAATCGAGAATCTAATGCCGTTTGAAGAGCTAAGGACTCTTGGGGTCACGTACCGCAGACGATCGCTATGTTGGCTTCAGCATTGGTCCAGATGATGGAGTCACAGAAGTTCCAAGTGATATCTGGGGACTTAAGGTCGACGGAGAGGATCATGTGCAATCGCACTATTGATATAATGGTGACGCTGTGTGTGTAGATTATGTCAATATGCAAATATTTGGTTGATTAGGAGAGAACGCATCTTGAAGCTACGTATTACTCACAACGTTCCCAGCGTAAACACACCAACAAGTGCAAATTTCTGGGGTTTTTGCAGCTGTAGTGATAACACGTAATGGATAGGTAGCGTCACAACAAGCGCATCCCTGATAATGTTCGGTATGGAGTTTCCATTGAAAAACATGTTGATATTAACGCCAGATGTGAATTTGCTGGACGACATTGGAATAACCGGATCGTATCGGTCCCAGAACGCACGAGTAGGGATGCACTGGAGGAGAGTCACGAGAAGCTGCGCAACTGATGAGTTGATGTCATGGACAGGACAAGGAAATGCAGGGGCGTGAGTCCTTACAACTGCGATACACCATGCTGACACCATGCCGGTCAAGATCCAAATCGGGATTTTGATGCTTCACCTTGCGCTGAAAATGCGCCAGTAGAATAAGAGCGTTGACCATTTGACAGTCGATAAGGTGAGTGTGTAGGCGATCTCTGAGATGAAGAGACCGATTGCCCATGCTTTTGTCGCTACTGCAGGTCCAACCCAGATGTGTTTCCCGGTGCCGTTGGGAATCACTTGATTGAACGATTAGCAAATTTGGACTGTGGTAATTGGATCGATATCTTGGCACAGTTGCTACTCACTATATCCAAGAGTTGTGAAAACATGAACGCTCGCTGCAAGCTACGAAGGCTTGTCAGTATTTTGTCACTGCTGCTATTTCAAGTTTGGCAAGGAAGCGAGAAAATACCATGGATATGATAATCACATAACCCTCCCACCATATTCTGTTACGCTTGAGCCAGCGTGCAAGGAAACGAAGCGAGACGGCGATGACAGCAAGCACCCATATGGAAGCCAGTGCGCCAGTGACCTCGCGGATCCTCGACTCGGTGAGGTCAAGACCCTCCGGAGGTGAAGGTAGGGCCATGGTTCTGCTACTCAGGGAGGAGGAAGTAAAACTGATGATAAGCGAGCTATTGCTCCCACAAGCTTAAATGTGAGGGTACGGCTTGAGCCTTGTGCGCGGGGCGACGAGAAGCATATATCCACGGATAGGCAGACAAACTGACTGCGTGGTGGACCTCGTGGACTCGCAAAAGACTTGGCTGTTTCGACAGTCAGGAAAGCACGGTAAGTCGTGAAGCCTAGTACATGGTGAGCATTGCGAACTCACGAAGCAACAACCTTGTTTCGAAAACCAGGAGTGCCGGGAGCGTTGTAGTTTTATTTACACCGTGACCCTCTCCCTGTTATATGGAGCAACAAAGCAGCCAGTGTAACATCCACATGAAGCTGCCGCCGTATACAGGTGTAGTGTCGGCTGTACCTTACATGTTGCCGTAGTATTCTCCTCAGTGACATGATCAAGCAGATCCCCGAGCAGTATCCACCGCTACTGACTCGCAGCATTGCAAATGTGTCCAGTGTTGACTCTATCTTCGGTTAGCTTGCTCATAACGACCCAACGCGCTGTCGAGCGACGATGGAATTGGATGAACCTGCTTCAGCCTAAACAAGACAGTGCGCAGCTGATGGGCTGGAAGAAAGCTGGTGGACCTCGCAAAACGCAGACTGTCAATCAATAGGTTCGACCGTCCCACCACTCGATCAGCAATGCCCAGGTGTACCGGGCAAGCTCCCGAGAAATTCAGTAAAGGCAATCACATTTTCCAACACTCGCAGAACAAACGGAAACAGTCCGAAGATATAGAGACTGAATAAAATAGAAAAGCGACAACTTGTTTTGATTAAGGCTGAACACTTCCGTAGGCAGAGACTCTTCCTAATTATTTTGGTATTTTCAAGCACAACTTATGACGCTTTGTCAGAAACCAATAGTTGAAAAGTGCATAGTAGGTACTAACTTGATTAGATGCTGTGTGGGTCCTCTTGGATTCATTGAAAGCGAGCAGCGCTTTGCCTACTTATTTCAAAAAGCACAGTCAATTGAAGCCGACCCGAGTTTCTCGGAGAGATAACAGCACCTCGCTGTGTTCAGTGGTTCAACAACTCATACGGTCTTGCTGCTGTGGAGTCGCACTAGGTATGGTGTACAGGTGACACCTCACAAAAGGTCCCCTCTTGATTACGTACTTGTCGTAGAGTCACCACTTAGGGTAGAAAAGACATAAGGAAAACAGCTTAGATTTCTATGTGTAGGATTACCTTGTCCAAAACGAATAAATACGTATCCTGCGTGGTGGATCTGCACAAAGGGACCAGACTAATAGTTAATCTAGGCCCAGCGCAAATCTCACAAGGCTATATAATACATATAAAGGTATTATGATATACCCCCTTAGGCAAATTAACAGATTCTAACTATTATATGTCTAATAATAACTATATATAAAAGAATTACTTTAAAAAAATAAATAAAAATATAAATATTTATTCTTAAAGTAATAAATATAAAAGAAATAGTTATATAATATTATATCTAATTATTAATAATAAAGAAACTACTTTTTTTCTTCTTATTACCTTTAAATAATTTAATTAAATTAACAGCTTTTAATTAGCTAATTAATTATTAAGTTAAGTATTTATTTTCTTTAATAATATTATTTTCTTTTAGTTTAATAAAAAGGCCTTTTTTTTTCTTTTTTTTTTATCTATAATAATAATAACTATATATTTAAAATATTATTATTTTTATTATATATATATATATTTATTTATATTATAAGCTCTTTATATAATACTAATATTTAAAAATAAATACCTTTAAAATCTAATAAAAAGGCTATTATATATACTTATACTACTATAATATATACAGCTTAACTTAAAAAGCATAACAAAGCACACAAAAGTAACAAAAAGAGCAATAGCTCCCTTAATCCTCCTAGTAACTAGCCTATAGTCTCTTCTCCTCTTATACATCTATCCTTTATCTAGGTCCTTTATATCTTAAATAGTATTAACGTATAAGAGTAGACTTCTTCTATTAGAGGCTATAGTAGTAGGGAAATTAACACTAAAGAGGATAACTTATAGCCTCCTCTTCCAGCTGACCTCTTTACAGGTACTATAAGTAAGGATAAAAATAATTCAAAGTCGCCTCTCTCCCTTAGTACCTAAGCCTACTTTAACATAATCCTAAGAGCCTTTTGTAATTAGTAGCTAACTAATATATTATACTTTTTTTATTTAACTTAAACTTTTTACTAATTCTATTAAATAGAGATAACTACTCTTAGGTTTATACTAAGAAAAGAGGTAAAGGAGAAGAAGAAGGATAAGGAGAAGAAGAAAAAGGAGGTATACGCTAAGACCTTAAAGCCTACTCTTTAAAGAGACTTTAAGTACTTATAGTACATTTAGAGTACACTATATAATAACTCTTTAGGTTAATGTATACTAATAAGTAATAGCTAGACCTTTAAGTACTAGTACTATATACTTAATAAAACCTTTTATATTATAATTATTAAAGGTTCTAAGCTTTACTATTTAGTTTAAGAGTTCTTAGTTATAAAACATAATAATATAGCTTTAAATATATATTTCTATATATAATATTTATTTATTTAATTTTAATTATTTTTATAGGTCCTTAGCTAAATAATTAGTATATTATAAAGCTATATTACGTTTAAGTAAACCTTTTTTTAAAAAGATATTTAGTATAGTATATAGAAGTATAGTAAAGTAATACTAATACTACCTAGTAAAAACACACTAATTAGTCCAGCTTTATTTAGTAGTCTTATTTCTAGTATAGCTATTACTATTATAAATAAAGGTTAAGTAAATACTATTTAGGTTATAATTAATAGCCTTGTTAATTAGTTAATACTTACATTAACTATATTTATATACTAGCTCTTTATAAACTAGTATATAGTACTTCTAAAGGGTTAATTGTTGTACTTTAGTGCGGATAAGATAAGTATGAAGATTAATAATTCCTATTTTACTTGGCTAGCTAGGAATTAGTGATGAAATACTAAGGGGTTCTTGTCTGGAGCCGTCTGAAGCGTAGGGAAATCACTGGGAATCTGCTAGGGATTTCCTGGTAGATTCCCCTTGGTTGTAAAAGTAGGTCCTACCAGGAATTTGTGGCAAATTCCTGGCGGATACACTGTTACTACGTGGGTAGACCTGCTGCCACAGCGTAGTGGATCCACTGTGATTTCCCGGGGATTTCCTGAGGCCGTCTCTACCTATACAGAGAAACCTTTTTCTGTGGATTCATTGCCTCTACTTGTAACCATTATATAATAATTACTTGTGCAAAAGATGTTCTTATCTTAAGGACTTCCTCGTTAATTAATAATAATATATATAAAACAAATAACTATAAAGACCTAAAATAACTATGAAGTAATAGAAAAGTAAAACGTAATTAACTAAACTAAATGTAATTATAATTCCTAGTAAGAGACCATTTACTATTATAGTATAACTAGGAATTCCTATATCATTATCTATATACCTATATAAACGCGTTAATTATAAAGCATTATAAAACTATTATTATAAGTATATGTAATCTTCTGTAAATTGCTTAATTAGCTTATCTGGTGTCTAGACTTCTCCTATAGTTGTCTAGTTATTTCTCTAAGTTGCTAGTGACCTTGTTGTAGTTAATAGGCTTATTCATAGGGCCTACGTTAATATCCTCTAATTACTTGAATTAATCCTTGGTTATTCCTAGTTCCTTAAGCTACTCCTCTGACACCTTAGTGTATTCCTCCAGCTGTAACTCAGTTGCTTGATGTACCGTGATAATTCCCTTGTTGCAAATGTAGAGGGCACGTGCACTAATGTAAGACGTAACTTTAATAAGGGTTATCTCTTGGTATCGCTTGGCGAGCTTTGCCTATTGATTGTTGCTTGCTACAAAGGCTACGTAACCATCAGTGACTATCACAGTCATGGTAGAGACAGGAAGCTAGAGCTGGATTGCCTAGAATAGGCCACAAAGAGATAATTAACTATAGTTAATGTGCTTTGTAAAATGCTTATCAATAAGGTTCACTATTGCTAATGTAAGGTATAAGTGAAGGACAGTAAAGTAGCTGTTCTAATACAAGCCAACATATAAATCAACCCCTTCCTGAGCAATGATACATAGAGGATTTGCTGTAAGTTGGTTGACAAAGTCTTTAATAATAATACTATTAAATACTATTTTTGCGTTTGAGGTAGGCTTGTTCTTAGTAATAGCTAGTTGCTTAAAGGTTAGTTGTGCGATTAGTGGAAGGTTTGCTTCGGAGTTTGTTCTCTTGTAGCGCAAAGTATTAGCATAAATTGACAAGGAAACCTTGCGTTGTTCCTTGCCTTTAATTATTGCCTAAGCCTAAGCTTAAGGGTCGTCTTTCGTAGTTAAGTCCTTATTAGTTGCCTTAGTAGCTAAGGACTTAAGGATGGTTAGCGCTTGTAGTATAAGTACTTAGAGAGCCTGTATAAGAGCAATAGTCTGTTAATTATTGGTCTTATTATTCTCTTATTTAGTTAGAGCTTTATAAAAGCCCTTGATGGCGTTGACTGTATCATTTATCTGCTTCTTAGTAAAGTTGCTGTTAAGAACGATTGGGGTCTTGGTGGTCTTTCCTGTCTACTAGGTTATTGCTAAGAGATTGTGACCAGGAGTCTTACCAAACTTGCCAAAAAGCATACAATATTGTTAACTACTTATGGTTTCTTAGGGGAACTTTGAATTATTGTTAAAAGAGTTATGAATACTTAATATATTTATAATAGTTTTACTAATATTTATTAATATAATAGTAAGAACCTAGGTAAAAGATAGTTAAGTCTAATTATATTAAAAGCTAAGGGTGTTAAATTGCTTAGTAAAAGGTAATTAAACGTTTACTTTAAAGACTTGTTTAGCTTTTGCTTAGTTGTTAGTAAAAGTGACTAAATAATTAGTATAAAAAATGATGTAATTAAAGAAGTTAGCCTTGATGTTGTTTA